CCGAGAGCCGCCATTACCCGTCCGCTCGCGCCGCCGCCGTTCCCGCGCTCCGCCGCGGCGCCCGCCGGGAGCCTCCGCGAGCCAATGGGGAAGCGGCGCCCGCGCGCGCCGCGCCTCGTTCCCGCCCTCACTCCCACTTCCGGCGGCGCGGGGGGCGGACGTGCGGCGGAGGCGGCAGCGGCGGAGCCGACGTGTCGCAGCGGGAACCCGGCGACATGGTGAGGGCGCAGGGGGGGTGCCACGGGGGGCCGGGGTCGGTGCCGATCCCGGCCCCGCTGAACCGCCGCTGTGTCCCCCGCAGGAGCTGGAGGCGATGAGCAGATACACCAGCCCGGTGAACCCGGCCGTGTTCCCGCACCTCACCGTGGTGCTGCTGGCCATCGGCATGTTCTTCACCGCCTGGTTCTTCGTGTATCCCCCCCGGGCCGGGCGCGGGGGGGCGGGCGGGGGTGTCCCCTCACCCTTCTCTGCCTCCTGATCCCGGATTATCCCACCAATCCCGGGCTCCCCTCCCCTTGTTTAAGATTATCACCTTAACCTCGGTCCTGCAGCTACGAGGTGACATCCACCAAATACACCCGGGACATCTACAAGGAGCTGCTGATCTCGTTGGTGGCCTCGCTCTTCATGGGCTTCGGAGTCCTGTTCCTGCTGCTCTGGGTCGGGATCTACGTGTGAACCCCCCGACGTGGGATTCGGGGAAGATCTTTTTATATTTCTTTTGTATTTCAGCAAAAAAACCCAACAAGCCCTCCTGTGTCAGGTGTGGTGCGTGACACCCGAATAAAACTGGCTTTGTGACACACCTGCCTCGGGACTCCTGCTTTGTCTTTTAGGTGTTTCTGTTTACCTGGATTTTCCAAACCCCTTGGATGGAATAATGGGATCGTTTGGGTTGGAACAGCCCTTTAGGATCAGAGAGTCCAACCATTCCCCCAGTACTGCCACCCCTGCCCATGGCCCCAAGTGCCACATGCACAGGGATTTTAAATCCCTCCAGGGCTGGTCACTCCACCACTGGAGCCTGTTCCGATGCTCGACAGCCCCTTCCATGTAGGAATTTTTCTCTAATATCCAACCTACAGCTCACCTGGTGCAACTTGAGGCTGTTTCCTCTCATCCTGTGACTTGTTCCCCGGGAGAAGATGCTGATCCCACCTGGCTCCAACCTCCTGTCAGGGATTTGTGGAAAGCCAGAAGGTGCCCCCTTGATCCTCCTTTTCTCCATATTGGCACAAGGTCCAGATGCTTTGGGATATGCCCGGGGTTGTCCCAGATTTCCACGCTGTGTGCGGCCAGAAGAGTTCCAGTGCCACCTTGTGTCCTGGTACAGCCAGTCTATGGGAAATAAATCCTAAAGCTGTTTTTAATCCCTCAGTCTTGCTTGCCCTGGCATCCCCTCAACCCTTTTTTGGGAATGCTGTGCGTGCTCTCATCCTGAACCAGGAGTTTTATGGCTCAGCAGTGAGAGCAAAGAGCTGGATTAATTAATTTATTAATTCCTGAATTAACTGCCTGGTCTATAAACAGATTTATGGATTTTCAAGGGCAGATTGGAATTTCAGCCCAGCTTTGAAACAATTCCAGTTCCAAACCACAAATTCAAGCCCCAGTTTCCTATTTGGAAAGGAAGATTTCCTTTTGTGGACTCTTGGGTCCTTCTGGATCTGGCCCTGCCCTCTGACATGTGAGAAATAACAGGTCAGCAGCAGATTTCCTTCCTTTTTTTTTCTTTGCTTTCTTTTTTTTCTCCTTCCCTTTTTCCTTCCTTTCTCCTTTTTTCCTTTTCTCTTTTCCCTTTTTTTCCTTCTTCATTTTTTCCTTTCTCCTTTTTGCTCCTTTTTCCTTCTTCCTTTTTCCCTTTCCTGTCTTTCTTTCTTTTCCCTTTAATCTTCCTTTTTCATTTTCCATTTTCCCTTTTTTTTTTCCTTCTTCATTTTTCTCCTTCTTTCTAATTTCTTTTCCCTCCCTAATTTCTTTTTGCTCCTTCCTTTCTCCTTTTTATCCCCAACAACCCTGACTGGACCCTGTTTGGGCACATCCAGAAACTCCCACTGATTAAAGACAGGGAATTTCCTCCATCCCACTATTATTCCCTGGGAAGGCAGGAAAGCACCAGGAGCCATCCTTGGATACAAAGCAGTATTTATATATTTTATTCATATGGGCACATTTACCTCCAGCAGAAAACAAAGACTAAATAAGCCAAACAAAACAAAACAAAACAAAACAAAAAAAAGGGGGGGGGGGAATCCAGAGACTCAGCCCCTCCAAATTCAGCAAAATATAAATATAAATCAGGAAGAAAAGAGGGAAACCAACGTTTGTTCCCCACAAATAAAAACCAGGAATCAAGAATAACCTGCTACAAATGCAACTCTACAAACTGGCTGGCAAAATACAGTGATTAAAGCTGTGGCAGCAACATTTAAACCAACAAATTAGTGCTTTACTTGGTGGTTTTTTCCTTAAGTCTTCCAGTGGTGCCATAGTCTCTATTTACAGGCTTTAAGCTCCAACAGCAGGACAGAAGAGTTGGGAATTTGCTTTTGAAACAAATTCCCAAACAGCCCAAGTTTCCACCCCTTTGTCTTCCTTCCTGCCAGGAATGTCTCTGGATAAAGAGGGATTTCTCCAAGCTCAGAATTCCCTCCGTCCCACGCAGGGAAAGGCCTGATTGTGAACTCTCTTGGGACTGACTGGGGACAGGGAAGGGGCAGGTGTGGGTTTGGGGGAGAAATCCATACAAACAGCTGTTTCCACGGGCCTAGAAGCAATTCCATGACTCCTTGATTTTAATTTTATAACTATAAACCCCATTTCTGCCTCACTGGGCAGCGGCTGATGATTTTTAACATGGAATCCTGGAACGGTTTGGGTGGGAAGGGGCCTTAAAGCCCGACCAGTTCCACGGGTAGGGACACCTTCCACTAGCCCAGGTTGCTCCAACCTGGATTTGAACACTGCCAGGGATGGGGCATCCACAGCTCCTCTGGGAAACCTGTGCCACTTCAGACACAGGATCCCATTGCCACTAAAAGCTCCACCCCGAATCCCTGTCCTCTCCCGATCCCGGGGATTGCTCCCGGCTCCGTGTGGGCAGGGCTGGCCTTGCCACTCCAGGAGGTGCCTCATCCCGGTTAAGCCACAGTTTTTGAGGCAGCATTTGACAAATACGTGGGAAAACACTGTTCCCTGGGGTTGTTCCACAAGGGAAAAGGCACCAGAGATGTTTCCAAGCCCTCAGGCACTTGGTTTCCTGGGAATCCCACTAAATCCCATGGATGAGCATCGTGGGGACACCTGAGAGATCCCAACTCCTCCTGGGCCACCACTGATTGATTCCTTCCCTCAGGAGCGGGCTGGGATGTGCTGGGAAGTCTTGGATGAGGTGGAGGGGATCTGAGGGGGTGATTGCAGGCTCTGGCCCTCCCAACATTCCCTGTTTCCTCTTCCAAGGGGCATTTCTCCCAGCCCGGCATCACTCACCTGAGGAAGGACGTGCCAGCCTGGGCCGTTGATTGCCAAGGGGACAGTAAACCTGCCAGGGAATTCACTTTCCAGCTTAAAGCCGGGAAAAACCCCCCGGGGCAGGCGGAGGGAGGAGCACTGAGCTACATCCAGGTGTTTCCTTCAGGATTTGAGGGGGAAACAGAGAATCCTGCTGAGCACGGAGCCGACCTCCTTTTGCTCAGGTATTCCCAAGCCTTGGGGTGTCTTGTTGTCCCACTGAGCTTCCCAAAATTGGGTTTTCCGACTGCTTGGCTGCTCGGAATTCCCTGCTCACCCACTATTTGCTGCTTCCAGGCCTAAAGCCCTGACCTGGAAACCACCGACTCCAACAAGGAATTTTAGGGCTGCTGTGCTGGGATAAGCTCAGGAGGTGGATGCCAAGAGACAAACCCAGACATCCACAGGAACCATCACTTTACCTGGATAAAAAACATCCTGTTTTTCCAGAGCAGCTCCCAAGCATCCACAGGACCAGCGTGTGGCATTTCCCCCTCACTGTTTTCCTTAGGGAAATCCATCTTGGAATAACCTGGAAGTGGCTGAGCCTCCAGGAATGCAGATAACTCCTTTTTAGCACGAGGAGCCGGAGCGGGATGGGGAGGGGGATACACACGGAGCCACTTGGCTTTCCCACGTGGCTCGGTGGGGCAGGATGAAATTCCCATTTTTTTTTACGGCTTAAAACCCCAAAGAACTCAGTAGTTTAGCAAGTTAAGGACTTGTAACAGTAACATATCCCAAAATACCCCAACACAAGTGCTCTGGGAGGGCAGGGACAGCTCGGAGCCACTGCCATTCCCACTTTTTGGGAGACCACCGCCCTCTCCCGAGGCAGAGGTCCCGCCCTGGCACAGATCCTCACATTCCCAGGGACTCAGCCTTGCTCTGCAGGGCGCTCCAGGATTTTCCAGCAGTCTCTGTCCTGCACATCTGGGCAGGGGTTGGTGTTGGCTTGAGAGCCGACCAGGCAGCTCCATACGCTGCTCCCAGATGGATAAAAACAGATCCCACAACACTCAGTGTGGGAGAATCCTGGTCATCTGTCACCCCTGGGTTGATGCCAAGTGCCCCCACGCGTGGTGTGGCCTCAGCAGCGGCTTTAGTGGGAGTTTTATCCATCCAGACCTGGATCTGGTGGGATTTAAGAGCACAGAGAGGAGGGGGAATGATGTGGAAGCTGCTCCTTCTCGGGTTGTTCCCAGGGGAACGTGTCCATTGGCAAGTCCGGGGGGCTCCAGGGGGTCTGTGAGAAGTGGCCCTGGGCCAACTAGAAGGAACAGCAACTCCAGTGTATGACTTCCAGTATGTCCAGGCACAGCCCTCCTTTCCAAAGGCCAAACCCCTCGGAAAGGGCTCCAGTGTTGAAGCAATTCCAGTGTTGTGAAGAACTGACGTGGGACACCCGGGAGCACCAGGAGATCCGAGGAAGGAGCATCCCTTTGGGATGTGGCCTTCAGTCCGGCGTGATGCTTCCCAATCCAGCGTTGGAAGGGGAGGGAGAAGCGATGGAGGACACAGGGGTCTCCAGGAGGGAAAGGAGAGGGAGGTGGGATGGTGGGAACGGGTGTGAGGTCACCCCTGGAGCCACCCCGGGGCTGGTGGTGGGTTTTGGGTCCTGGGTGTGCTCAGCACCACCAGCCACCAGCATTCCAGCTCCGGAGCTGCCGCAGGACACGGGGATGAGGCGGGGCTGGGGAATTCGGGAGGCTCCCCAGTGGCACCAGTCCCCCTCCTGTCTCCAAGCAGAGGGCACTGGTGCTCCCGGGAATCACTCGCAGAGCCAGTAAAACTGGAAGTAATAGTCAGTGAAGAGCTGGCCCAGCTGCTCCGGGGAAGTGCCGCAGTCGGCCTGGCCCTGGGAATGGGAAAACGAGCTTACAGGTGGGGGCAGGATGCCAAGGAGGGAATTCTGCCTGGATTACGGGCTGGAAAAATCATCCCCCCACTACCAGCAGCAGTGGTGCCACATGGCTCCTAAACCTGCCATGATCCCACATGTCTCTCCTTCCACAAGGCAAGAGGAAGGAGGAGCAGCTGGTGGAACTCACCGGCTGAGCCACTCGGAAGTGGTAGGAAAACTCCTGGAAAGACATCATCACCAGAGGCCAGCGGTGCGTGGTGTCCTGGGGAAGGAAGGGGAATAGCTGGGATGAGATCAGGGATGAGCAGAGGGATGTTCTGGGGAGGGAACACACGGCCTTGGGCTCTGGAGTGACCCCACGGAGGTTTCCCAGAGAACAAGTGGGATGAGGAGCGGCTGAGGGAGCTGGGGGTGGGCTCATCCTGGAGAAAAGGAGGATCAGGGGGATCTTCTCATTCCCTACAACTCCTTGACAGGAGGGTGGAGCCAGGTGGGGCTGTGCTCTGCTGCCAGGGAACAAGGGACAGGACAAGAGGAAACAGCCTCAACTTGTGCCAGGGGAGGTTCTGGATGGATATGTGGGAAAATTCCTGTAATGGAGCGGGTTGTCAAGCATTGGAACAGGCTCCAGTGGTGGAGTCCCCACCTCTGGAGGATAAAACCCGTGTGGATGTGGCACTTGGGAACATGATCTGGGGTGGCCTTGGCCGTGCTGGGGGGATGGTGGGACTCCATCATCTTGAAGGGCTTTTCCAACCAAAATGATTCCATGTTTGAGCACAAATTCCCTCCAGAAACTCCTGTGCTGCCCGTGGGTGGTGTGTTGGGCTGACTGTGAGCTGTTCCCTTCTCCTTACCTGTGCATCCATGGTATCCATGGAGCTGTTCCTGCTCACAGCATCCTGGCAGGGATCACTGGAGACAAGGCCACAAAGGGAGATGGACACAGCGGAGGAGGAGCTGGGAAGAGAGGACACAATGAGAGTCTGGAAGGGGGAACATCCACAGCCCCTTCCCCACGGAGACACCATGGCCACATCAGTGTCCGGCCCCTCTGGGGGCACTGGAACACCCAAGGGATGTTCCTTTGGATCCCTGGCCACTCACTTCATCTCCAGGGTCAGGTTGGTGTCCACGGCCGTCCGCTGGTTCACAGGGATGCGGAAGCTGAAGTTTCCAGTCCTGGGAACACAGAGAGAGGATGAGATGTCACCAGGCTCTGGGAAGGCTGGGATAAGACCCAAAATCCCTGTTGGGCTGAGAATTCACACAGGAGATCTTCCCAAGGATGAGCCCATTGCCAAACACTTTCCCTGAGGGCAGCACTGGCGGCACCAGTTCCAATTCCCAGGGAATGGCGTGAGCTGCCATGAGGTGATAGCAGAAAACACCCAAGGAAATCTTGGAAAAACTCCAAGATTTGTCCATTTCTTTCTTCCCACGGTGCTGCTGGCACCAAGGTGCCAGCAGCCAGCCCTTCCCGCTCACCTGCAGGCGTTGGAAGCGGCGCAGTACTGGGAGTGGATGGCCAGGTTGATCTCCAGGATCCGGATGGATTCCAGCACTGGGCTTGGCCCTGTCGGCGGGAGAACGAAGTGTTTAGGAACAGCTGGAAAGCCCCGAGGGAGGAAGGCTGGGAGGGACAGGAGGTGGGAGCCACGTACCATCGGTGCCGGGGTGCTCCGTGCGGAGCCGCTCGCTCACCGGCTGCCGGAGGCTGCGCCGCTGCCGGGAGCTGCTGCGGGAGAGCGAGAGGTTGGAGATGTACTTGGATTTGCCCTGGATGTGGGAGAAGGGGGAGGAGGGGCTGGCATTGGGGCTGCCGAAGCTCTGAGACCTGTCAGGAGTCTTTGGCCACTTGGAGTAGGAGGAGGATTTCCCGGTGATGCCCCTGGATTTGGCTTTGATGTTTGTCGCTGGAAGGAGGGAGGTCTGGCTTTGGTCTGTGGAAAAACGGGAGAGGAGGCTGCGCTGAGAGGCTGGGATTGGGTAGGAGCACCAGGATCACCCTGTCCCCATGTCACCTCCTGAATCACCCAGGCTGCCCCGGGAAGCTCTGGCTGCCCCATCCCTGGAAGTGTTCAAATCCAGGTTGGATGGGGCTTGGAGCAACCTGGTCTAGTGAAGGTGTCCCTGTCCATGGAATGGGATGAGCTTTAAGGTCCCTTCCATCCAAACCATTCCAGGATTTTGTGATTCCATTCTCTCTGTGCCCGATGGTGCCAGGGATGGAATGAAGAGGGAATGAGGTCACACCTCAAGGTAGGGCTGCTCAGGTGAGCTGAGCCTGGAAGTGCTTCCCGTGACTTTGTGCTGGAAAAGTGGGAAGCTCCAAATCCTTTCCAGCCCCAACTTACCCCTGGCAGCAGGATCAGGGATGTCTGAACTGTGCACATGGGCAGAGAAGGATATAAAGGATAAATATAAGGATATAAAGGATATACCTATGGTATAAAGGATATATAGAAGATATAAAAGATATAAATAGAAGGATATAAAGCCATTAGAGAGCTTCTAGAGGAGGGGGACAAGGATGAGGAAGGATCTAGAGGGAAGGTGTGGGGAAAGGGAACTGGAATTGTTCATCCCGGAGGAGACCGAGGAGATCCTCCCACAAGGAGCAGGAGGTGAGAGACAAGGATGTCACACAAACCTTGGAGATGTCCCAGAACCTCTGGGAATCTGGGATGGCCCTCACCTGTCCTGTTGGTGCCGTGAGTGGGGCTGGTGTCCGAGGGGACCACGGAGGAGACGCCGGTGGGAACAGCGGAGCAGCACACGGAGAAACACGGAGGGCTGAAACAGGCCAGGACACTGGGAGCAGGAGAGCCCAGGGATACTCCAGCTGTGTCCTCCGGGACTGCAGGGACACGGGAATAACTCAAGGGATCCAACAGGAGCAGTGCCCAGTGCCCCACCACCCATTCCATGAAAGCAGAGCCATCCCAGCACGGTGGGATGGGGGAGGCACCACCCTGGTCATCCTGAATCCCAACCCACCATCCTGAATCCCAGCCCACCATCCTGAATCCCGACCCGTCATCCTGAATCCCGACCCGTCATCCTGAATCCCGACCCGTCATCCTGAATCCCAACCCGTCATCCTGAATCCCAACCCGTCATCCTGAATCCCAACCCACCATCCTGAATCCCAACCCACCATCCTGAATCCCAACCCGTCATCCTGAATCCCAACCCACCATCCTGAATCCCAACCCACCATCCTGAATCCCAACCCGTCATCCTGAATCCCAAGACACCATCCTGAATCCCAAGCCACCATCCTGAATCCCAAGCCACCATCCTGAATCCCAACCCGTCATCCTGAATCCCAAGCCCCCATCCTGAATCCCAAGCCACCATCCTGAATCCCAAGCCACCATCCTGAATCCCAACCCGTCATCCTGAATCCCAAGCCACCATCCTGAATCCCAACCCACCATCCTGAATCCCAACCCGTCATCCTGAATCCCAAGCCACCATCCTGAATCCCAACCCACCATCCTGAATCCCAACCCACCATCCTGAATCCCAACCCAGCACCCACCGTGCTCCGGGGGGCTCCTGCTGCCGGCTCCATCGGATATGGCCGTGGATCGCACCGTCTGGGTCTTATCAATGTTCTGGCTTGACCTGGAATGCAGGAGAGTGAGGTGAAAACCTGGACTGGGACTGTGGTGCCGCTCGTAGGTGCGGAGGGAAGAGGCTGCAGCGAGATAACGGGAAGAGGGACACGGAGGAACAGGAGACACGGAGGAGGACAGAGTGGAATGATCTGGGAAAGGGAAGGCAGGAGAGAGGCACACAAGCCATGAAGACAGCAAGGAGAGCTCAGAAATCCATAGGGAATCCTATGGCAGTCCCATGTCTGGCAAGGACAACAGGACAACTCCCAGCTGCTTCAGAGGACACCAGCAGCACTCCTGGATCATCCTGGAACAGGGTGGATTTCACTCTCAGTAGTGATATCCTGGCTGGGTTTGGGTTTTTGGGACTCAACAGGCTCCAAGCACTCACATTCCCTAAGGAATGTGCCCCTCATCTCTCCGAGACTGTCTGTTCCTCCCCTTGTTCCTCACAAACACACACAAGTTAATCCCGTGGAATTCCAGGTGTTTCACTGCAGCTATCCAAGAGCTGAGCTGAGGACACCACAGGCATCTCCTGAGGATAAGGGAGATGGGAAAGGGGGGGAATCTTTCTCCCAGGTCTGCAGTGCTTTTGGGCACCCGTGTCCATGTCTTACCTGTCCCTGAGCACCGCTCCAGGTTTCCCAGGGATTAATGGAGCTTCCCACCCTGGGAGAAATCAAAAACCCACTTTGTCCCCTGCAAGACTTATTTTAGTACAGGGATTTCTTTTCCAGGTGAAAGGAGACTCAGTGCCGGTCTCCTGGATGGAATGTGGAGCTTCACCTTCATCCCATCAAAATCCAACCCTTGTCCCTCGTGTCCTTCCACTGCCTCATTCACCTTTTCCGTGTGTGGCTTTATCCTGCTTTACTTGCAGGATGTAATTTCCTTATTTAACCTTTAATTAACTGAGTTTTCCATCTCCTAATCCCAATTTCCCCTGCCTAACAGGGTCCACAGTCCTTCCTCCCGGAATCCCATTGGAGTCTCACATCCATTTCTCTGCTTTCAGTTTTGCTTCAGTTTTTTTGGTCTCCTGGGATGCAGATGGCAGGAAAAAAAAAAAAAAGAGGAATTAAGAGAAGGAGTAACGGGATAATGAAACAGTCACATACCGTGGACACAGAGCGACCGGAATTCCGGGACCCCCGTGCCGGAAGAGGGCCAGGAGACAGGCAGTGGGCACAGCAAAGGAGCTACAGGACAGTGAGGGACACAGGGAGAAGAGGAAAAGTGGGAACATGCCCGGGAGGACAGGGAACGAAAAAGGATGTGGAAGATAACGGGAAGGAAAAGACAAAAATGGGGAAAATTAAAGACAAAGTGGAAGGAAAACGGGTTGGATGAGGAGATGGAAGCAGGAGAGGAGGGAGGAAAATGGGACAGGGAAAAGAGGGAGAGAAAAAGAGACTCATTATCAGGTCACAGGAGCTCCCAAAGCTGGTCCAGTCCCACTGAACCAGTGGGATGAAGCCGGAGCGGCATCCAAGGAACATCCAAGCCTGGCCACGAGTGGATTGGTGAGCAGCCAAATGGGGCATTCCCTTTTCCTTCTCTATTCCTCGCTTCTCGCTCCAGGTATTCCTCATTTCCTCCAGATATTCCTCATTTCCTCCAGATATTCCTCATTTCCTCCAGATATTCCTCACTTCTCGCTCCAGATAACCCAACCGACACCAGACTGGGATGTGTGGGTGTGTCGGGTGGGATTTGCCCCTCTGGAATTGTGCTCCACGACACCAGGGCAGCTGGTTTCTGTGCCTCAGCCTCTCCCAGGCCCCCTCATCCCTTCCCAGCGGTTCCCAAAAACACCCACCCGTCGATATCCACGAGATCCTCCTCACTGCGCAGGCTCAGCACGTAGAGAGTGGACATGGACACAACGCTGGAAAAGAGAGAGGGGAAAGCTGAGCAGGGACGTGGAGCAGGGCTCTGTCACGGTATCAATCTGCTCCCAAGGGATTCCAGCCCACAAAAGGTGGCTGCTCCATCCCTGGAAGTGTCCAAGGCCAGGTTGGAGCGACCTGGGATGCTGGAAGGTGTCGGGGTTGGAACTGGTTGAGCCTTAAGGTCTCTTCCAACCCAAAGCATTCCAGGATTACGTGGAAAAAGCCCCTCACTGCACCCCCCCATGGATGGCACGGCCCAGACGGATCAGCCAGAGGGAGCCAAGGGAGAAGGATCATCCCAGGTGCTGGGAATCACCTGAATGCCATGATGATGACCAGGGCAATGATGGTGCCCTGCAGGAAGCGCTGGCTGATACAGGCCTGTTCCGGGACAACCGACGGAGACTGCAAGGAAAAAACACCCGGATCAGCTCAGGAACCCCAAGAGCAGCTCAGATTCCTGCCACGGACCTCCCCAAGCCCATCCCGAGCTCTCTTCCTGCTCCCTGGAAATCCTGAACTCCCCCCAGTCTGGAAGCCATTTAACACCCCCATCAGGCACAGACAAAAGGAGCATCATGGAATCATTAAGGCTGGAAAAGCCCTCTGGGATTCCAGAGTCCAACCACTCCATAGGCACCACTAAACCATGTCCCCAAGTCCCACACCCACACGGATTTTAAATCCCTCCAGGGACGGGGACTCCACCACTGCAGTCTGTGCCAGAGCTGGACAACCCTTTCCATGAAGGAATTTCCCAGGATATCTGACTTAAATCCCCCCTGGTGGCCGTTTCCTCTCATCCTGTCACTTGGGAGCAGATCCCGATCCCACCCGGCTCCACCCTCCTGCCAGGGAATTGTGCAAAGGGGTAAGGGCCCCTGATCCTCCTTTTCTCCAGGATGAGCCCTCCCAGCTCCTCCCACCCGGCACTGCTCCCTTGGGATCCGTCCCTCACCTTGGTGGCCACTTTGTGGGGTCTCTTTTTGTGGGGGACACTTCCCGCCCGGCTGAACTGGCTCCCTGTTTGGCTGCAAGGAAAAAGGAGCAATGGAGCTGAGCTGGGCAGGGATGGCTCTCCAAGCCATTCCCAGGGAAAAACGGGATTTTCCAGTAGGCAACAAACCCTCTGTGTGGCGTGACAGTCACAAACCCTTTGGGGGCTTTGCCCAGAGGGCCCCAGTTCTGCCCCAAAACCTGCATAAGCAGGGTCAGGATGGAGGTTCTGGAAGCACAGGAAACTCTTTGCCATGAGGAAATGGCAGACAGCTGGAATTGGAGACAATTCCATCCGGGGGGTTTTGGGGAATGTCAAACCTCCCCAGCCTCAGCTCCTTAAACCCCAAGTGATGTTGTCAGACAACACCACAACAACATTCCAACACCCTCCCCATCTCCCACTCGGAGTTTCCTGGGATCCAAGGGGACATTCCTTGGCTCCGGCTGTACCTGAAGGCTCCGGAGCTCACGGTGGACTTCATGCTGTCCAGTCTCTTGAGCTTGGCCAGCTTGTGGCTCCACCTCTCCAGCTCGTCGATGCGGGTCTCCAGGTTGTCCGTCAGCTTGCACAGCTCCTTCACGGCCCCCACGTTCTCCATGAAGATCCGCTCCTGCCAGGGAATCGGGATGAGGAACACTTGGATCTGGCCGCCCTGACTGCTCTCCCGCGCCACGTCCCGCGGGAAAGGCTACGGGAGTCACCCAGCATGGACCACCTGGATCTCTCCAGCCCTCCGGGTGTGACGTGGGAGGCTGTCCCCACCCCCGTGGGGCATGGGAGGTGATTCCCAGAGCAGAGAACAGGTTGGGAAAGGTCAGGAGACCGGGTGCTCCGGGGTATCTTGACATAAGCACCTTATCTTATCCAGAAAGGGGAGATTAGGACCGGGAGACTCCCTGCAGGAAGCTGCCAGCAGGGAGCCCTTCCTGGGGGAGATGCTGCCAGATTTCCCTCCCTGCCCAGGTCCAGTGCCCACCCAGGGCTGCTCCCGACTTCTGGAATCGCAGCCAGGCCTGACACTCATCTGGGTGGTGCCAGGAGCGTTTCCCAGGCACCGCATTCCATATCCAGCTCCTGGAGCTGGGCTCACCAGCCTCCCGGCTGCCACCAACCTTGTTCACCACCAGGAAGTTCTCCAGGGTCTTCCCATTGGAAAAGACCAGGTCCCCGGTGTCCTTCACAGCTTCCGGGAGGATTTCCTTCACCTCCTGAGCGATGACACCTGGGGACACGTGGAGAGAGCACGGGGGGGGTCAATTATCCCCAAATTCCATGGACAGGGATCATCAACCCCCCATAGGATCTACCTGTACTCCCAAAGAGAGGTGGATACCTGGAGAAACCTTTCCCCTGTGGCAAGTGCCACCTTCTCTCCCGCTAAATTCCCTAAAGAGGGAATTTCATCAGATTCCTTAATTCCAGAGGTGAGAACCCCCCTCTTGCCCACCTCACACCCGGGGCAGAACTGGACACGGCCCCTACGAAAGGCAGAGGATTCCCGTGGGACATTCCTGCCTCAGAGGTGTATTCCCATGGGATATACCTGTCTCAGAGGTGTATTCCCATGGGATATACCTGTCTCAGAGGTGTATTCCCATGGGATATACCTGTCTCAGAGGTGTATTCCCATGGGATATACCTGTCTCAGAGGTGTATTCCCATGGGACATTCCTGCCTCAGAGGTGTATTCCCATGGGATATACCTGTCTCAGAGGTGTTGTCCATCCCCACCGTGGCTGCAAACTCTGGTTTGTAGTTGTAGTGCACCAGTCGCATCTGGGAGATCCGCTTCAGCTGCTCCGTGGTGTCCACCTGGGAAAAAAAACAGGCACAGGGAACTCCTAAAGGGACTGTTGCTTCTTAAATCCCCATGAGTCCAAGCAGGGAAACCCACTGTGGCTCATGGGAATTCCTGTGGGAGACTGGAACCTTGCTCGGAGCAGCCGCTGGGACAAACAGCAGCAGCACTGGGGTTAATCTCCAGTTCTGGTCTCCAGACATATTCCTGGGATAGGGAAGCCGGGAAGAGAGAGACTCTCATTGCAGAAACAGACACAGAGTGGAGGCAGTTCCCAAAAACATGTGGGGTGAAGGCATCCAGCTTTTCTGGACAGGCAAATCCAGCTGACAGGAATTCAGAGCAGAGCCCTCTGGCGAGGCCCAGGATGGTGCCTGCCACAGTCACCTGTTTCCATGCATTTTCCAACTGCTTTCCACCTTTTTTCCGAGTGTTTTCTGACTGTGTTTGCCAGGTCTGTCTAACAGTGGAAGAGTCAATATTCCCCAGGACGTGGTGGACAGGCTGTGTCCGGGACAGAGGGAATTCTAAGGCACTTCCCATCCGACCAACAGTCACCTGATCCCGGAATATCCTGAGCCGCACGGGGCCCATAGGGATCACCGAGTCCAACTCCTGTAGGCCTAGAGCTGGACTCCCGCAGGAGCTCAGGTTATCCATGGAAACCAGCAGCTCGGGATGCCACTCCCACTTCCCGTGGTGCCCCTTCACCCCAACCCCCCCCTCCGCTTTCCAAGGTCTCACCTCCTGGATGTCCTCCTTCACCCGGACATCCGAGGGGTGCATCAGGGAGCCCATGACCTTCACGTTGCCATGGACCACCAGGGCCTCGTCCGGGCGGTCGGTGTTGATGCCGACGCGGCCGTGGTGGAACACGGTGTCCGGGAGCTGCGCCCGCTGCCACAGCACGTCACTGTCACTCTCAAACTGGCCCGGGTTGGAAGCCTGAGGGAAAACGGGAAAGCGGGGGCTGAAAAAGCAGGGAAAGGACCGCTGGGAAGCAGAGATCTTAGGGATGTTCGCCCGAGAAGCGGGAGGGGGTTTTTGGGACGAGCTGTCCGTGAGATCCCGGTGCTCCCTCCAGCCTGCAGCACATGGAATTACCGTGCCAGCCCCACAGGAGGGACAGCAGGGAATGGGATAGGCGGGAGGACAGAGCCAGGAGAGGACAAGGAGGGTCGTGGGGGTGCCACACAGAGCTTTGCACAGAACAAGGTGGAGTGGCAGGGCAGGGATCCATCGGGAACGGATCTGGGAATGGATCCCAGCCCATCCTGGCAGCCTTGGCATTCACCTGCTGGCCCAGCCTCCCTTTGCAGGGACCAAGGCTATTCCTGCTCCTCTCCCCTCCCTAAAGGAATATCTTTGCTGCCTAGGGCTGTTGTCCCAGAGCTGCTCCAGGACAGCAGGTGACCAAGTGACGTGGATGACGCTCCTGCCTCCCAAATCCTGCGGGGTTCTGTGACACACCTGCAGGTTGTGCTGGCCTGCCTGCAATTCCCTGCTGGGAATCCTGGAAGTTGCATAATCCATCATGGACTTCTTGTCTGCAGATCCTGAGGCCCCTGTTTGGGTTTTATTCCCTGCCTTCACATCTCGGAGCTGAGTGCTCCAGCAAAACCCCGGGAAAGCCTGGGAATGGTGCCTGTTCCTGCCCCTCTTCCTTAGGACATGCAAGGGGTGGGAAGGCACCCAGTTTTCCTGCACCTGGAATGCTTGTCCCCGCTGCAGAGTCCCAGCCGCACTCTTCCCTAATTCCCAACAGTCCCAACTGGACACTGCTCCAACCTTGGGATCTGCAACAGGTTCTGTGAGGAACCAGATGCGGAAAGGCTGGGAATGCTACAAACAGTGCAGGGGGAGTTTGGAGAAGGGGGGAGAAGTGGGAAATCAAGGCTGGAAAAGCCCTCTGAAATCATCAAGTCCAACCATCCCACGTTCACCACCAAAGCACCGCCCTGAGTGCCACATCCCCAGGTGTTTGGAAGGTGGGAGATGGTCCGTGGGGCATCGGAGGGAGGGGACAGGGATTTACCCGGACGATGATCCGCTCGGAAATGTGGGCGGCCAGCGTGTAGTTCTGGTTCTGGGCATGTGCCTGCAGGGCCACCACCAGCATGAAGTACCTGGGAAGGGAGAAAAGTCAGGGAAGCATTCTGGGACGTGCTGGATCTCCATCCCCTGTGGAACGCCGTGGCGGGCTCGGAACATCCCCTCCCCCTGTGCTCCTCCCAGAGAGGGGAGACCCTTCTCGTGCCCAAGGATGGCCAATCCAGGCCTTGTCCCCCATGTCCTCCTCCCTCTGGACGCACTTCCCGGGCCAGGAGGAGGCAGATCCACGGGAGGCTCGAGATATTCCGGAGCCCTCACCTCTGGTCCGGGTTGGGTTTGCCCTTTTTCCGCATGTTGTTGGCCGTGGTCTCGCTGAAGTGCAGCCGCCCCACGGTGACCTTGGTGACCTGCTCCGGGGGCAGGTTGACCCTGGAAGGGAAGGGAAACAGAGGAGTGAGTGAGGATGCTGCCTGTCTGGGAATGCTGCCTAGTTTTTCCTGCTCCTCTGCCTAAGGACATGCAAAAAGTGGGAAGGTACCCAGTTTTCCTACACCTTGCAGAGCTCTAGTTCCCAGCATTCCCTCATTCTGCTGGATCATTCCCAACAGTCTGCTGGACACTGGCCCAGCCTTGGGATCTGCAACAGGTTCCCAAATGCCCTGAGGGTGCTGTGAGGAACCGGGTGTGGAAAGGCCGGAGCCAGAACCTGGAGGGGAGGGTTTTTTGGGAAAACCAAAAAACAGCAGGGCTGTGAACTGGGCACAGAGCTGGGAATGTGAAGACAGGAAATCAGGGCAGAACTGGAGAGTGTGGCAACCACCCAGTGGAATGCGAGACTCTAACTCTGCCCCTTTCCCCACCTTGTGGTGCTGTTATTCCCTGGAAACACGGGATGCTGGTTCCCACAGGGACACACTCACGTGACGGGGTTGAAGGGCCGTTTGCTGCGATCCGACTGCGACTGCTCGATGTTGATGGATTGGTTCAAGGCCTCGAGCTGGAGACGAGGATTTGGGAATGTGACACAGGGCACAGAGACCTTCCCATTCCCACCTCCTCCTTCCCAGCTCTCTGCCCACCTTCCCATGACTTGGTACGACCCAGAGTGTGGGCACTGTCCAAACATGGGAATTGCCCTTGGAAGGGGGAAAGTCGAGGTTGGAAGGATCTTCCCAAAGTTTCCATATACCTCTGGAATCAAAGGTGAGAGAGAGCCAGCCCTGAAACACCCAGGCAGTGACTGAGCCCATCTTAGGACCTGTATTCCAATGGCTCAGAGGATGTTTGGATTGGATATTAGGGAAAACTCCTTCATGGAAAGGGTGGTCACTGGAACAGGCTCAGGTGGTGGAGTCCCCATTCCTGGAGCCATTTAAAATCCATATGGATGTGGCACCTGGGGACATGGTTTGGGGTGGCCTTGGCAGTGCTGGGGGAATAGTTGGACCCAAGATCCTAAAGGGCTTTTCCAACCTCAGTGATTCCATGGCTCCACACATTCCTCCACAGCGCAGCACGTGAGGCTGCATTCCAAGCCCCCCCTTTTCCCGGCTCCGTTCACCCTCACCCTCAGCTCCCGCTCACCTTCACTCCGTGCAGCTTCAGGTAGAAGCATTCCAAGGGTTTCAGGCCCTCGGGGGTCTTCACGTACTTGGGGTCTCCCAGCATCCCGATGTACACCGTGACCTGGAAGTGGTTCTTCTTCTGGCACACGAAGGCGTCGTCCCCCACGGAGAAGTTGAATCCCTTGTCGGCGTCCACGCGGTACGTGAGCATCGGGCTGGGAAAAGGGAGCACCAGTGAGGCCAGGAGGGGACCCAAAGGTTTCCCAGGGAAATTTGTGGATATCCCATCCCTAGAAGTGTCCCCGGCCAGGTTGGACAGGGCTTGGAGCAACCTGGGCCACGGATGGGCACTGGATGATCCATAAGGTCCCTTCCAACCCAAACCATCCTATGGTTCTTCCCCTGGGAAGGAATATGGAGATCCCAAGCTCCACAGCCTTCCCAAAGCCTGGAGAATCCCTTTAACGCTGGGAGAAGCAGCTCAGGCTGACTTGGGGGTGTCCCACATCCCATGGCATTCCCGACGTCTCCTGTGCCAGCCCTGCTACCAGGATGTGCCTGTGTCCCAAATTCCTGCAGAAACCACCTGCTCCAGTGGCTGCGGAAAAGCTTCCGGCTCCCAGACCCAGAGAGGGAGGAGGAGGAGGGGTCCTGGCTGCTCCATGGACACACACCAGCTGGAAAGGTTTAATCTACATCTCCTTAATGGGTTGGTTTCCATGGGAATGAGGGAAATATGTGGCCTTTTCCTCACCGTCCAAAAATCCCAGACCTGGGCTGGTGGGCCCTCGGAAGGGGGGAAGGAGCTGCCTCTCATCCCACAGAACAGCCACATCCCATTGTTTTCAATTAAAGAATTAGGGATGAGGTAAAGGGGGAGCTCAGCCCAGCCTTGGATATGAGACTTAAAAATTAAGGAGCACTTTTCCCTAAAAAACAAATCAATCCTGACTTCTACCTCCAGACTGCTCTGGATTCTGCCCAGAGCAACGGGAGGGGAGGCGGACAGACTGACAGTGAGGAATGTGGCAGACTCTGGGAAGCAGAAAATAGGGATTCTGCCCTGGTATTCCTTCCTTTTTTCTGGAATAAAGCCATTCTCCCCCCAGAACACCTGAGGGGATAATGTGGATGAGACCTGAGGGTGATTCCAGGCTGCCAGGAGCAATCCTGGGGTGGCCCCGAGTAACTGCTCCCTCCTTACACCCCAGGGACCTGGGAATGCCGTGCTTAGCTCCGGACACAAAGCAGACAGTGGGAGCAGAGCTCTGCCCTAGCCCAGAGGCACGAAAGGAATTCCTTGACCTCCTCCCAGACTCTCCATCTGGATATTCCTCACTGGAGCCTGAGCAGCCTCTGTGCTCATCCCACTCCTGGCTGATTTCCTGGCTCCTGAGTTCACTGCTATTCCCACTGTTGTTTAACAGGCAAAGCCAAGGAGAGGAAGGATCTGTCCCAACTTCCAAGCTACAGATGCTTCCCAAACTTCCAAACCGATGGCTGCCAAACATGTGCTGACAGGGGGGAGACAGGAGGGCTCCTCCTCCTGTCTGCCTCCTGGAAATTCCTGGTCTTCCACAATCCCCTTCCAGAGGCTCCTATTCACTGACTTTCCCGTTTTCCCAATGGCTGTGACTGCTGCATCCCCCAAATCCCTGTGCTGGGATTGATGGGAGGGAAGACACTGCTTTCCAGAGGGATCTCCATCACTTCTGGCTGAGCTGAGGAGCTGCTCCCAGGGCAGGGTATTCCCGGCTCTCCGGATGGGAATGGGGTGGTAAGAGAGGGAAAAGCAGGAGACCCCAAGGGAGAAGCAGTTCCTGGGATCAGGGATGACACCAGCCACTGACAAATCCATGTCCTGGGAGCAGCCAAAGCATTTTCCAGGGAGAGCACGGGGGCCAGAGGGCAAAGTGTCAGGAACAAAAGGTCTGGGGTCAAATGGATTGCCTTATCCCAAACATTCCCACTGGCAGAGGCGGATTAAGGCGGGACAGAAGGGCAGGATCACGGGAGAGGAGGTTTTTCCTGATCCGAGTGAGGGGTCAGAAACTCCCCCCAGGGAATTTTATTGGGATTTTGGCCAAGAGCAGGATGCTCACATTCCTTAATTTGTTCCTCCCAGGCACAAAAATCCCTAATTTCTCTCCTTCCTTCCCAATTCCCCAATATCTCAACTAAAACAGAATATTGGGAGACCCCTAATTCAAGGACCACTCATTAATTCCACGTATTCCCTGATTCCCTTCACTTCCAGGACACGAACACCAAGATGGAGGAACCATTGTCATCTCTCCCACACAATCCCCCCTGTGCATCCACCTCATGTGGTCCCTCCAGCTTCCTGGGATGCATCCATGATCCATCACCCCGTGCCACCTATCCCAAAACACATCCAGCAGGTCTGGGCCACATCCCACGGGTCTCCATTCCCTCCCTGAGATCCAGGACCCAGCAAGGCCAAGTTTGGAGCTGTTTATCCAGACACTTCTCTCCCAAGCAAGGGGTGGAAGCCCAAAAACCTTGGGATTAGCTGCCTGTGTGGGAGCCCCAAGGAAAGCACCAGTTAGCTTGATGGGAAGAGAACAGCACGTTCCCAGTCTCCCAGCTGGGAATTCCAAGGCCCTGGGCCTCAGCATGTGGATGTTTCCATGGAGGGGTGAACTATTCCCAGCTGCCTTCCCTCAAGCTGTAACAAACCCGGGAGAGGGAGGAGGGAGCCGGAATTTATCGGAGCCCGCTGTCAGGGAGATGAATGACTCCTTCTCCCAGGAGTAAATTAGGGAATTGCCCAGTTCCAGGGCCTCCTTGACACTGCAGCTCATCCCTGGGGAGGTTCAGCAAATCCAAACCCACAAAAATCAGCGCAAAGGGCCAAAAAAAATTATATATTGTCCATCAAATTAATCCAGGGATTTGTGGCTCCTTCAAGATTCCTTGGCAAAGCCCGAGACACGGAATGGAACTAATCCCTGTCCCATCCCCCTGTGGAACCTCACTTTTTGTGTGCAAAAGAACATGGAATTACATTTAACTGTATTTGTTGCCCCTGGAATCGCTCCTGAGAATCTGGTAAAAAACCTGGATAGTTTCCCACGTCCTTCACCTCCTTCCTGAACTCTTTCCTTGGGATCAAGAAGAGGAAAAATCAGATAATTCAGATGATTCACATTCCTGGGCTATGAAAAGCACCTGGGTCCCAGGGAACTCAAACAGCACATGGAGACTGGGGAATAACTTCCAGGAGAAACCGGAGCAGGAACAGCTGATCCTGGCTTTATGATCTCCATGGAAAACTAAATTGTGGGAATAATTACGGATCTGGAAGAGATCTTCCTACTGCTGAGGACACCCAAAAGGAGAAAGGAAGGAGATAATTCCTACCTGCTAAATGTGGATTAACTAACCTTAAAAAATCCCATTACAGGAGGAAGGGAAGAGGAAGTTTTTGGTATTTCTCATGGAGTATTCTGGAAAAGTGCTGTTCCAGGAGAATAAGGGACATTCCACATAAAAAGAGACGTAGATCCAGCTCTCCTGGAGCCACCTGGCTCATCATGGAGAAGGAAAACTGGACCTAAAACTGAATCAATCAACCTTTACCCCTTAATTCTGCTCCAATCCGGCGCCACAACAAAGCCCACGTGGCTCCCTCAAATTCCATGGAGTCACTCCAAAGGAATTTATTCCTTACACAACGGGATGATGGACCTCAAAGCCCCAGGAGGGGGTTTGCTCTGGCTTTCGCCCTAAATCCCAAAAGCAGGGATTAGGGGAGCGATCCCAAGATCCAAAGAGCAGGGCTGGGGTTGTAGCAGTTTTCCAGCAACTTCCCTGTGCCCGGGAAATATCATGGAATTCGTCTCTGCCTATCCACCTGTGTGCAAGCAGAATTTCTGGAACTGGGATAGCAACACCTGGAAACGGTCTGGGACAACTGGGACATGTTTGGGATGGGAAATGGATGGATGGGATGGGAGATGGAAGCAGTGAGAGGGTAAAGAGCAGCTGGAAAAACAAAGGATAAGAGCTGACAGGTGCAGATCCAGCTCAGAGGAGGTGGGAGCGGAATTCCTGCACATGGAAGCAGGATTTGGGGGATGTGGTGAGGGCAGGATCGGCAGGAGATGCTCAGCTTCCCACATCCCACCATCCACAGGGTGGAGAGCACGGATAGGGCTCCAGGACAGCTTTGGAGCTGCTCAGAAGTTCCCAGGAGCAGCTGATGTTCCACCTAAAGCTGGGAGATACTTCCTTAGGGAAAGCAGAAGGAACCATCTTCCCAAATTTCCCCTCTCCCGCCGAGGGTGGGGAAACAGCCACAGGGTCCAACAGAGAATTCCATGCCCTGGCACCACCGTGAAAGCCGGGAGAAGGGCTGGATGAGCAGGAGACGTGTGAGGGAAAGCTGGGATTTGCACTCTGCCCCCCCACCCCGGGATCCTTGGCTGCCATTCCCAGCACCGTCCAGGCACGCTGGGATCACAGCCGGGGTTATCCACAGGCACCAGAGCATTCCCTCCTCCCGCTCCCCACAGGACCCCAGCAGCCCCGGCTGGGCAGGAAGAGGAGGAGGGGGAACTGGGAGGGAACTGGGAGGGAACGGGGTGGGGGGATCTGCTCAGGGAGAGGTTCCTGGAAGCCATCCTGGCATTGCCAGCGTTCGGTCACCTCCCAGGAATGCAGGGAGGATCCGCGGCGGTTTCTCCTCAGCACTCCTCCTTTCCAGAGCTTGTCCACGTGCTGCCTCCACCCTCCTCTCCCTCAGTTCCCAGCCCACCTTCCCACCACTCTCTGCTCCACAGCCACCTCGGTGATCCCAGCCTTCCTTCTCCAGCCTCTCTGCCACTTCCCAGCTTTCCACAGCCCCTTCCCGCTCCTTTTCCTCCTTCCTTTTCCCACCCACCCCTCCAGCTCCTCCAGCTCCTTTCCACGCCGTGCTGCAGTGGCTCTGGATTCTCTCCAGCCATCCATGCTATGTGTTGCTGGAAATTCCCAATCCTAAATTTAAAATCCTGGAAAGCCTGGGAAGGGGGAAAAAGTGCTGCTGGTCCAAACCATGCAGGATTTGCCAATAAAACCTTCCAAGATCTGAGTGGTGGCTGAAATCCCTTCTGCTATTCCTGAATCATCCATAAAAAGCGTGGAGGAGCAACTTTCCCAATAGGAAAGGTACGGGGGGGGAGTATCCCCCCACAGCACAGCTGAGAGGACAAGGACAATTCCAGGGAGATCCTTATCCCATGTTGTGACTATGATATTCCCAACCCCAGCGGCTCACCACAGACACATGGAATGTGAATCCTGCTTTTCCCAGAGGCAGAGGGATTACTCACAGCTCCTTGTAGTTGGCATCATAGAGAGTTGCCCACTTGTTCTGCTGGTGTGGCTGCCACTTGATGGACTGGAAGTTGGGATCCAGGTAGGATCCGTTCAGACTGTCGTTATCCTGGATCAGCCCTATGGAGAGGGGGTAAAATTCCTTAAAATCCCGACTTTAATCACTGGAATGAATGTCCAGCAGGGTGGAAGCCCGAGGGAGCAACTGGCACTGCCTGAAGTTTCCCTCCTGACTGCCAGGACAGCAGATCCAGGACTGGAATTCCAGCGGAACAAAGAGGAGTGGGATCGGAGGGTACCTGGTGAGAGAGCACCCGGCTGGTGCCAGGGAGGAGTCTGGACTCGGTCGGGATTGAGCGGCACCGATCCCATTCCCGGCTCCTGCTTGATCATCCCGTTGAGCATCTGGGCGTTGAGGGTGTTGGGGGGGGACTCGGAGTGTTTCCGCTTCTTGGCGGGATGCACCGGGAGCCTGCGCAGACACACGGGAAAGGCTGGGCTGGGAAGCTCCACAGCCCGTCACCGGCACAGGCAGGATCCCACACGGAACCCAAAAACATTCCCACAGCACTGTCCCACCTTCTCCCACACTGCCAAGCTCTGGGCCACATCTGGAATTCCACAGAATCCCGGAACGGTTTGGGTTGGAAGGGACCTTAAGGATTATCCAGTTCCAACGCTCTTCCATGGGCAGGGACACCTTCCATAGACCGGGTTGCTCCAGCCTGGCCTTGAACACTTCCAGGGATGAGGCAGCCACAGCTTCCCTGAGAAATCCATCCCAAGGCCTCACCGCCCTCACAGGGAAGATCTTCCCAATATCCCCTCTAAACCAGCACATGGAATCCCGGAATGGTTTGGGTTGGAAGGGACCTTAAAGCTCATCCAGTTCCAACCCCTTTCCATGGGCAGGGACTCCTTCCACAGATTTCCTCTTGTTTATTCCCACCACCCAACTCCCAGCTACAGCCCACACTTCGGACACTGCACCCACCTCCCCCTCCCATTCCCTCATCCCCATCCCCACATTCCCACCACCCAACTCCCAGCTACCCCCCACACTTCGGACACTGCACCCACCTCCCGCTCCCATTCCCTTGTCCCCATCCCCACATTCCCAGCAGCCCCAGGCCTTACTCTGCTCCGTGCTGCTGGAGGAGCTGGTGCAGCATCTGGGATTGCTGGGCGTGGTGGAGCTCGGCCGGCGCCATTCCCGGCCCGATCCCGTACGGAGGCATCAGGGGCTCGGCCTTCAGGAACATGTCCCGCTGGAGGCCGGGAAAGTGGGAACTGTGCTGTGGCTGGAGGGGGTGAGGGGGTGGCGGAGGCGGGGGGGGACCCTGCAGGTGGGGGGGCGGAGGGGGAGGAGGAGGAGGAGGAGGATGCTCCAGGCGGGAAGGGGGAGTCATGTGGCACATGTTTTCGGGAGTCATGGTCCGGAGGAGGTGAGGATCTGGAAAGAGAGGAGGAGTCACAGTTAGGGGTGTCCCGATCCCAGATCCAGCACTGACTCGGTTCTCTTGGATCTCCAGCTCGGAGGGGACTTGGAGTGGCCTGTTCCAGTGGGAGGTGTCCCTGCCCACAGCAAGGGTTGGAACTGGATGATCCTTAAGATCCCTCTCAACCCAAGCCATTCCAGGATCGGATGATTTTGTGACAAAGACACAAACATTCCTGTGCTAAATCCCCTGTGGATGCTCTGCAGTGAAAGCACATCCCCAGGAATTCCCTCAGCAATTGCCAGGTAGCTTTTGTGTTAGCTTTGGACTTCCCTTCCCAGAGAAAACCCATCAAGCACAGTATTCCCGTGGGAAGTGCGAGGAGCAAGGAAACACAGCAGGGGGCAACTCCAAAATCTGTTCCTGGGAACGCAGAGCTGGAGAAAAAGCACCTCAACTTTGCTTAATAAAGCCAAGGCCAGGTTGGACAGGGCTTGGAGAAACCCAGACCAGTGGAAGGTGTCCCTGCCCACGGCAGGGGCTGGAACGGGATGAGCTTTAAGGCCCCTTCCCAACCCAAACTGTTCCAGGATTCTCTGATGCCGTGGGGACAACAAGAGAGAGAACAGACAGCAATGACCTAAACCCACCCAGGGAGGAGCTTTGGGAAGAGACTCAAAATATTTCCATTTAAGCCAGGAGAAGACCCTGATCCCCAAATTTAAATAAATAAAAAGGGACATTCAAATGCGATCCCACATTTCTCCTCCCTCTGTATGGGATTGGATACCAAAGCCATGCCGTGGTTAGGGTGGATTTGACTATTTCAACATCAAGACAAAGGTTTGGATGTGGAGGGACATGCAAATCCATGTCCCTTCCTGCACTGCTCCAGCTCCTCATCACCTCAGTATTCCCATTCCACTCCCTGCCATGGGCAGGGACACCTCCCACTAGCCCAGGCTGCTCCAAACCCCATCCAACCTGGCCTTGGGCACTGCCAGGGATGGGGCAGCCACAGCTTCCCAGGAAATCCATTCCAGTGCCTCACCACCCTCACAGGGAAGAATTTCTTCCCAGTATTCCATTTACCCCTGCCTTCTGTCAGTGGGAAGTCATTCCCCCTTGTCCTGGCACTCCAAAGTCCCTCTCCAGCCTCCATCCTCCTTTTTCCTCACCAGGACAAAGCTCATCTGTGTTCCAGCCTTTCCCTGATGGATGCATCAACCTGCACCTTCGGGTGTCCCCACAGGATAGTAAGATCCCAGCAGGAATGTGGGACTGACCCCTGGGACACAAGGAAACCGAAGTCTGGGAAGGGACAGCGACTTTCCAGGTGTTTAAAGTGCGAGACAGAGTTTCTGCACACTCCAGTGCGGACAAACTGATGGAAAACACATCCAGGGAGTGACCAAGCCAGGCACGGCTCTGGGAATGCAGAGAAGGATCTGCGGGATCGTTCCAGGCTGCTTCCCTAAGCGGGAGCGCCAGACTCTGGACTTTGGCCTCGGGACACCCAGGCAGGGACTGACTAACGAGGCCAAAGCGCCCGACCAGGAATGGGGAAACTCCTCCCATTGGCAAGTCTGGAAAAGTGAAATGAGGATTCTTCCAGGGATTTCTGCTTCCCGCTGAGACCTCTCACTGCCCTTTTCCAGACACATGGAGCTGGATTCCTCTTTCCAGGCTCATTCCTGGGCCAGCCTTCCTTCCGGAGCTGCCTTAGGGACAGGCCAGGCTTGGAAAGTGATGCACTCCCAAATCCAGGGTAAAACCATCTCTGGGAATGCGATCCTTCCCCCGGGAAGCTTTGTGGGCACCCTCCGGAGCCTCCTCTCCTTCCCAGACAGAGCTGCCAGCTCTCCTCATGGGGAGCAACCTGGCCTCTTTGTTATATTTAAGGAAGGGCCAGGAGGAATTCCAGGGATTTTTTTTTAGCAAGATAAACAGAACTCTTGACCTCTTCCATCAAAAAAAAAAACCCCAGGAGCAGGCGCTGTTCCCGGTGGGGACTGGGCTGGAGCCTGGGGAAGAGGGTGCTGCTCCGAGGGGGAAGGGAGACCAGGACAACCCGGACAACCTTCCCTCCTTCCTTCCCAAGGAGTTCTTTCCATGGAAGAAAAGTGAAGGTCACCAGAGGGACCAAACAACTCTCGGTGGCTTTCCCTGGAAATGACCCTGGAGGGGATCCCGGCTTCCGGAGGAGGAGACCCTCGGGATGAGCCGGAGGGGAGGGAAGGGCTGGGAAGGAACTTACTGGCGAACGGCGGGTCCATGTCTCCCTCCCGGAGCCCGGCTCCATGTCAGGGCCGCATTCCCACTCCTTTTTCCCGAGGCACGGGGCCAGGCGAGGAGGGTGAGGGCAGGATCCACATCCCACCCTGCCCACGGAGCAGCCACACCGCCGAGATCCCCCCGGATCCCTGGAATCCCACCTTGCCTTGCCTCCCGCTCCCTCTCCCACTTTTCCAGAGGCCGGGAGCGGAACAATGGGCGAAAGCCGAGGGATATTTACTAACTGATAATCTCCCCACGTAGAGCAGCCGCCTGTTTTCTCCCGGCTGATAAAGATTCCAGAGCCAACCACTTTCACGGAATAAAGAGGGGGGGAGGATGTCGGATTTGGGGTTGGGATTATGAGTTTTTCCCTTCCCTCCCCCTCCTCCCTGCTTTTCAGCACTCACCGTTCACCTGCTGAGGGGAATAGGCTTCGGATCCGGAATCCGGGGGAGAGTCCGGCAAAGTGCTGCGGAGCAACGGGAAAAGAGAAGGGAAAGTCATTCCCAGCACAACCAGCAGGTCCAGCTGGATCAAAGCACCCTCCAGGATCCCTCTGGGAATCCCGAATAACCCTGGGATTGCCATCACCGCCACTGCTCCCCCAGTGCTTCCCTGGATTTCGGGAACAGAGACGTTTTGTTGAGCTGACAATGAGAATTCCAGATAAAAGAAGTCAAATGGAAATTTATCCGCTTCCCAGGGAAAGGTGTGCTTCCCCCTGGGAATGCCAGTGACCAGGTGGGGCGCATGGAGTGTTCTTCCCGTCCCTGGAAGTGTTCAAATCCAGGCTGGATAGGGCTTGGAGCAACCCGAAAGGTTTCCCAGCCCACGGCAGGGGTTGGAACTGGCTGGTGTTTAAGGTCCCTTCCCACCCAAACAATTCCATGATCCCATGAAATGGGAGGCTTGGGGGGACCTGGGAAGCTCACAGGGTGGATTTTGCTTCCTGGACCAGAGGAGCCCAGAACCCATTCATTGGATTCTTCATGGGAAGTGGTAAAAGCAGCGGCTGGAGAGGGATGAGGAGGGGTCATCCCAAAAAAGCCCCTCATCGTACTTCCCTTGTCCTCCAACTTCCCTTGGAGCACCTTTCCATCGGTCCCTTCCTATGCCTGGCTGGAGGATTTTTTCCCAGCCCTTTTCAGGTTCTTTGCCACACTGGCTGTGAGTTCATCCCGTATTCCCTAAGGACTTATCAGGATTTGTGCCTCAGCAAGCCAAATTTTGGCCAATAACAAAAGGGAACAGCACAGTTCAGGGAATCCTGGAGGCTGGAAAAGGTGAACTGCAGAATTCCCACAGGGAACTCAGGATATTCCACAATTCTCCATTGGAAAAAGCCTCACAGAGCGGGGAAGAGTCATTGTGGAACGCTGCAGGAATGCTGCCATCCTGACCCAGCTCAGCTGCATCCAGAGGTTTTTCTTCTCTGACAGGAGGGTATGAGCCTCACTCATGACATTCTGGAGAATTCCAGGTGCATCCAGAAGAAAGGGACATGACAAGGCTTTTGGTTCCCCCTACGCTCCACATATCCCAAGGGAAAACTCCCTGGCCTGGGAGTAAAATAAAGGCGGAGTATTTTAGCTTTCTGGAAGGTCTTTCCAAGTTCATCCATCGGCTGAATGTGCTGGAGGTTCCCAAATTTGGGAATCCCCAGGCTGTGCTTGCTGGCAACACTAGAGGGCACAAGGCAGAGGGAGAAGAGCCAGCCCTGGGGCCATCCCGGCCTCCCTGTCCCTCACATCCATTATTTCCAGGGGAGAAGGCTCAGGGATTGGCTGTTTGTGGCCACCACCACCTCAGGATCCAGGCTGGAGCTCCTCTGGGAGTGACTATTCCCTTCCTGCTCCTGGATACTCTGCTGCACACCTGGATTTCACCTGTCCAGCTTCAGATCATCTTCCACTTCCCTGTTCCTGCTGGGAGCAGGAAGAGACCAGGCACATCCTGCTCTCCCGGGGTTGTTCCCTTCCATCCCAGGGAGCAGGAATCACATCTTTTCTCCTCTTGGGAATAACCACCCAGTTGAATCCGCTGACAATCCTGAAACCTGCCCATCCTCTTCCTCTTCTCCAGGTCTGTATCCCGAGCTTGTCCAAAGACATCCAGCTCAGATCCATCTTTTGCATCTCTGGAATGGAGCATCTCCCACGTCAGGCCACCAGAAGAACGTGTCCCTGCCCAGTGTGGTGAGCTATCCACTGGGATAGTCATGGGAATATCCTGGAGGTTCCATTTCATCCCAGAGACCGAATTTTGTCCCATTCAAGTTCACTCCGAGCCTCTTCCTCCTTAAAAAATCCTACAGCGTTCTCCCGCTTCCCACCTGGAGATGCCCACCACAGGTATCCCGGTCTCCCACAGCTCTACGGCAACACAGGGGATATTCCCAAAACGCTTTTGGGAAGCTCCAGGGCTTCCATTTATCCCAAACCACCTCTCCACGAGGCAAGAACCCGGCACGGAGCGACGCTGCCACCGGACACGGCTCCGTGAGCCCTCCGGGTGCCACCAGCCATCCCCTATCCCAGCATGCCATTCCCGTATCCCAGCACGCCATTCCCGCATCCCAGCACGCCATTCCCGCATCCCAGCGCGCCATCCCCGCTTACCCAGGTGCGTAGGGAGCCTTGGGCTCCGTTTTGATGGGAGGGCCCCCGCTGCTCAGGCAGTGCCCGCCCAGGAAGCCCTTGGGCACCCCCAGCCCGTTGTTGTTGTTGCAGTTGAGGTGAGCTCCGTAGCCGGATCCGCAGGGATTGGCCAGCAGAGCACCATGCCGGATCGGGAGCTGGCTGCTGCCGGGGGGAAGGTGCAGGGCAGCGCTGGGAGAGGGATTGGGAGCGCTGCTGATGGAGCTGGAGGGAGTGATGCTGGCGGAGCCGGAGGGCTGGGAGTGCGCGTAGCCGGATGGAGCGGGAATGTCAGGGAAGCAGCTGAGGGAGAGAACGGGAAAACCTCAGCCAGGGACACTTCGTGCCCGTCCCTCCCCTCCCAAAATGTGGGATCAGAGTCGTTCAGGAGCTCTGGAATACCTGGGAAACAGCGAAATAACCAGCACTGTGGTGGCACCAGGAGCGAACAGGGGCGGGTCAGTGGGACTGAAGGAAGAGGCCAAAATCCACCTGGGAAGCTTTAGAATTCCCAGGATGCCAGCACCAAGGAATGTGAAGCCAGCGGGATCTGCCCACCACGCTGCAGCTTTCAGGGAAGCTGTGCCAAAAATCCCACGGCCACCCTGCTCACAGGTGCTCTCCAGGCCTGCTCCCCTCTCTCTCCCAGAGCTGGGATACACAGGGAGACCCTTCCCTTCTCCACACTCCTGTTGTGCCAGGGTTGCAACCGGAGCTCCCAGGGCCTGTTTTCCCATTTTTAAGGAAAAGTCTTTATGGTTCCCTCAGGAGATGAAAGAGAGGGAACAACAGAGACTGGGAAAACTCAAAGGTAAAAAACCAGGACGAGATAGGAAGAAGAGCTGGGAATGGCAATGGAGCCAAGAGCGATCCAGGAGGACTTTGGGGTGGGGCTGCACAGTGATTCCTACATGATTCCTCAAATTTCTGGGCTGGAAATTGCTCCACAGGTTTCCCAGAGAAGCTGTGGATGCCCCAGCCCTGGCAGTCAGATGGGGGGCTTGGAGCAACTTAGTGGGAGGTGTCTCTGAGCTTTAAGGCCCTTTCCTGCCCAAACCATTCCAGGATTTACAGCCTCTCCATAGAAAACCCCAGGGAACACCATTCCCGCTGGGGAGCAAGGGAAGCACTCACATCTCCGGAGAGTCCTCCTTGCTGATGTATTCCTCCAGGATGCTGGTGTCGATGTTGGATGGCTCCAGAGCTCCATTAATGTCGTGGCCTGCCAGGGAAGAGGAGGTGGAAGAATGAGCTGGAGAGGGACATGGAAAGGCTTTGGAAACACCACTGGACCTTTGCAGAGCCGAGGAACTGATCTGAGAATCGTGGAATCATGGAATGGGGTGGGTGGGAAGGAGCTGAAAGCCTCGTTTGACCCCCCTGCTCGGGCAGGGATGATCTGGATCAGCAGATCCTTGAGGGCTATCTGTCCATGCCCATCCCAGGGTAAAACCCCATCCCGGGAGATGGGATACGTGGGACAGGCCAGGCTGGTGACACAGACACATGGTGGGACTCCACGAGCCTCGTGGACCCCTTCCTGCTCGGGACATCCTCTGATTCCCTGGGGACTCTGCCTCAGCTCTGCAGAACACGCTGGAATTTCTCCACCGCAGCTCTGGAGCAGCTCCCGACCTTCCTCCCGCTCCTCCCCTCCTCCAGGGGTGGATTTCCCTCTCCTTTCTCCGGAGGGCTCCTGCTCCCCTCCCTGCCCTGTTCTGGGGAAGCTGGGCAGGGTTTTGTTGACAGCAAGCCCTTCCTTTATCTGTCTCTCCCGAGTGGGAGTCCGGAGCCCGCCGGGGCCGGAGCCAGCCCGCGGTGCCAAAGGCACTGCCAAGGAACCAGGAAAGAAGGTCCAGCTCCCCCCAGGGCAGATAAGGGAGTCAGTGAAAGACCATCCTGGAAGGCCCCACGTGAAAGCCCCCCGTCCAGCCCTGTCCCAAAAGACCCCCTGGCTCGGGGGAAAGGTCAGGGCTGATCCCAAACCCCCATCCCACCCCCATCCAATCGCAGCTCTCCCTCCGCAAATCCCTTTCATACCAAGACAAGCAAATCGGCAGGAATAAATCCAGCTAGGAATTCTGCCAAGCGGACAGGGTGTGGAGAGGGATCTCTGCCTTACAAACCTTGGCTAGAGGGGAAAAAAACCTGGATAACCGCTGTTTTTCAGGACACCTCCATGGCAGAGCCCGGGGATTCGGGGGACAGGGTGGAGATGCTCTTCCATGTGAACAAGGGGATCCATCTGGAGCAGGGAATGTGATGCTGCTTCCAGGTGGGCATTGAGGAGAGGATGGAGCAGGCAGAGCCTCCGGGATCCCCAGCTATGCCAGCACCTCCAACATGGAATTGCAGACCCCAGGTGTGTCCCTCCTCCCCTGAAGTTTCTGGGATGTGGAAGCACCACCCTGCTGTCCTTGGAGTTACGGGAGCTCACCAGTGGCCATCCCTGTGTCCCCCACTCATCCCAGAGGATCTGCCACACCCTGTTCCCGACACCTCACCAGGATGGATCTACCTCTTCAAGCTCCCACTGGGATCCCGTAACATTCCTGAAACCCTCCTGCCAGGGATGAGCACTCCAGGAGGGTGGGAACCAGGACTTGTCCAGAAAGGGTGGGAAGTCCTCCATAGACAGCGGGATACTGGGCTTCCCAACTTTCTGAAGGTGGGGAGGCACTGGAATGGGTTTCCCAGGGAAGCTGTGGCTGCCCCATCCCTAGAGGTGTTCCAGGCCAGGTTGGAGGGGGCTTGGAGCAACCTGAGCTAGTGGAAGGTGTCCCCACCTGTGGAATGACAGCTTTAAGGTCCCTTCCAAGTGAAACCATTCCAGGATTCCTTCACTTCCTTAAAGTCACCTTGAGGAGCCCCGAGGAGGGTGAGATAAGCCCGGTGACGTGAGAGGTGTGTCAGGGGTGGAGCCGGGACGTGGCTTCCCACCAAAAGCCAAGGACCTTCCTCTGCTTGGGAACGCTGCAATTTGCACCAAAAAACCGGGACATGGAGCGGGTGTCGCTGGCAAGGAATGTCCCAGCAGCCGGAGCCTCGGCATGGCCGGGCTCTTACCAAAAGCCAGCTTAGGTGATTAATTCAAATACCTCTCCGTGGAGTCACAAGCTCCCAACGACATTCCCTCCCCCTCCCCAGCGGGGATTAGGAGGAAGCCACCGAGGAGGGAAGCTCAGCGCCCGGCACAGGACAGGCTCCCGCTCTTACCCCACGTGGAGGAGCCCAGGGACACTCTGAGCTCGTCCATCCCAAACCTGTTCCCAGCATTATCGCCCCACTCCTCCACCACGCTGTTGCTCCCACTGCTCTGCTTTCCAAACCTTTCCTTGGAAAAGAGCCGAGGTGATCCCAAAAAAAAAAAAGCCTGAAGAACAAGAAGTTAAACCCCGAGCACCCTCCTCGTGAGCGGGTGAGGCCCCCGGACGTGTGAGAATGTCAGGAATCCCAATGTTTGGACTGGTTTTCTCTGCCTTCCCCAAACCTCCAAACGCGCTCCACATCCCAACGGAGGTGCTTCCCGCTCCTCCCCGTCCCTGCTCCCGCCGCCTTGTCCCTCCTGGGGACATCCAGCTCCGTGACTGGCTCCCTATCCCATTTTTAGGTGCTCCTAGAGGCGAGCACAGGGCTTGGAAAGAGTTAACGGAGCCTGCGCTCCGTGAATCCCCGTATTTACAGCTCCGAGAGGTTTAACCCAGAATTTTCCTGGAGTGATAGGCCGAGAAGTTTATGGAATTTCTATTTATAACAGTTCCTCTCCCCCCCTCCTCCCCAGTTCTTGCTCTGTTGCCTGTCTTCAAATCACCCCTAATCCTGCCTGGGTCACCTGGAGGTGGGAGGGAGGGAGGGAGCTGGAGCACTTCATCCCGGGATCCGCTAACACGATCCAGATGTGGGAACCTGGAGATGACGCCGAGGTCAATGGCTCCAGAGGGGCTGGGGAACATCAAGGATGGGGGGACACCGGTGGGGAGGAGGAGGAGGAGAGGCTGTGCCAAGCCCAGAGTGGAGCCACGTACCAGAGGGTGGATTTTCCCCTTGGACTTCAGGGGAAACTGAGGCACGGGACACTCTGGGAAGCAATAAAATATCCAGCGGGTACAGGCTGGAACAGGAGCCCCCAGGAGCCGGTTCCACGGAGCATTCCCTCTCCAGAGTACAGCGGGATAGGTGGATGAGCGGAACACACCACAAGGCCCACTGGGAATTCCCTGGGACGGCACAGCAGCGCCGGTGCCGCATCCCTGTGTCCCGGCACGAGGGGTTGGTTGTGCAACCTCGGCCCGGGCTGCCGCATCGGCACATTCCCGGGGCCCCCGCACCCCCTTCTGCTCCTTCCCATGTTTATCCTTCGGCCCGGGGGGATTGGCTGCCGGCCTGGATGCGAGCAGGAGGAATCCGGGCCACGGCGACCTATCCAAACACCGCCTAAGCCCGGGGAGCCGCGGGGCCAGCGCTCCGCTTCGGAGCTCCTTCCCTACCCACGGGAGCCAAGCCTGGAGAGCCGCCGCTCCAGCCGGGAACAGCATCCAGCTGGGAACAGCATCCAGCTGGGAACAGCATCCCTCCCCGAGAGAGCTGGCAGGGGGCAGGGACACGCCGCTCCAGCTGGGAACAGCATCCCTCCCCGAGAGAGCTGGCAGGGGGCAGGGACACGCCGCTTCCAAAAGGGACAGCGGGACCACGTCCCGGCTGCCCCACGTTCCCAATCCCGGGCCGCCCGCAGGGGTGGAACATCCCGACCCCGCAGCCCCTGCCTCCCGCTGGATGCCAGCCTGGAATTCCTCCTTAATTAACGCTCTTTATTACCTGACTGGAACGATAACCAGCCCCCGAATGGGATCCTGTAACCGGAGCGGGACACGGAGCTGGCGGCTCCCCCAGAGACCACCCTGGAGAGAAGTCCCGGCTGTCCCAGGCACTTCCAGGGGCTCCCGGGCCCCTTCCCTGAACCACAGCCCCTCCTCACCCCACTACTGGCATCCTTCCTCCCACCCAGGAATGTCTGTTGGGATCTGCAAGGGCTGGAGCAGGGAAAACTGTGTGGGATCTTCCGGCATCATCACTTGATCTCGTTCCTAAATCCCATCCATTGGATTAGGACACCCTTCCTTACACATTCCAACACGGCCTGTGCCCTTCCCATCACAAAAGGTTCAGCCACCACCTGTGTCCCATCCTGGGGACATTCCCTTGCCAGCACATTCCCAAGGACAGCCCTGCCCTTCCAAAGCAACGGGGCAGCTCATCCATCCCCATTCATGCCAGAGGAGAAACCTCAAAAGTCCAAATTCCACACCAAAACCACAGGCAAGGATGAGCTCTGGGAGCTTGGTGAGCTCCCAGCCAACACCCCTGCTCCCAGCTCTAATCCCACTGCAGTCCTAGAGGAACTGTCCCGTGCCAGGCAGGGCAGGATGCAGGGATAGGGATACAGGACAGGCGGGATTTGAGCCAACCCCCCAGATTTAGGGAGTAAAGAGCATGACAGGGTGTCCAGGAAGACCCTGGAGCAACAACCTGGATGACAGAGGCAAAACACTTCCAATAATGAACCATCCTGGTGGGAGGAACAACCAAACCAGACCTGCCCATGGCCCTGGATGATCCTTTCTGACCCAAACCATTCCAGGATTCCATAATTCCCAGCCCAGTGTCCAGAGGCAGCACCACCCACAGCATCTCCCCATCCCGTGGAAAGCTCCCTCTGCTCTCACAGGATCCCAGTTCCTTAGCTTACATCCACAGATTATATCTGACAAAAACACCTTTGGATAACCTGGGAAAAACACCACACTCAGGGAGAAGGAGATCATTCCCTCTCTCCATCCCCATCTCCCCAGAGGCCAAGGAGTGTGGGAGAGACATCCCAGGGCAGGAGAGGCATGAGGAGCCAGGGGAAATCATCCTGCTGTGCCACGGGAACGTTTCTCAGGAAGCTGTGTGGGAAAAGGAGGCAGCTCCATCCTACTTCCCAAACTTCCCCGAGCGCTAAAAGCACCTCCACAACAACCCTCCTGGAATTTCCCCATCTCCACGTCCCCGTTATCCCTCCCGGCTCCCTTTCTCCTCCCGGCTCCCCACCCGTGTGCCGGCCTTTCCCCCGCCCTTGCCAGCTGTGAACCTTGGCATGGCTGGAGCCATTGTCCCTGGCAGTGGGGAGGAGGGGAAGGTGTGAGGGGCACACAGAGCCCGTTTGTCCCTGTCCCCGCGGCC